TTTTTATTTTTAATTTTTATAAGCTATTTTTATCAAAAAATGATTTTAAATATACCAAAATTCATGATTTTTTATTCTTTACAAATAGACATCCATATTGATATAGTTTTAATATAAAATAAAAAATTTATTTTTTTTATATTTTCAGTTATCGTTATTCATAAATGAATAACAATGATTCAGGTTTTATTACATTACATTCGTTATTCACTTATGAATAAAAAATATGATTTTTTTTAGAATTTAAGTATCATTCATATATGAATATAACATATAATAAATATAGTATATTCATATTTTAATATTGGACGATGAATTCACTTGTGAATATTAACATAGTATATTCACTTGTGAATATTAGATGGTATATTCACTCATGAGTATTAAATGATATTTCATATGTGAATATTACATAGTATTACATGGTATATCACATGTGAATATTACAGAGTATATTCACTTGTGAATATTAGATGATATATTCACTTATGAATATTAGATGATATATTCACTTATGAATACTAGACAATATATTCACATATAAATATTAGAAGGTATATTCACTTATGAATATTGAAGGTATTTTGACAAATATATATATATATATATATATATATATATATATATATATATATATATATATATATATATAATTTTTATATGTTATTCACATATGAATAACATACAGACTTGCATATTTGTTTTGTGTTTTTAATAATCATATACTGATTCAGATGAGAAAAAACATATTCATATGTGAATATAACGTGGTAATTTAGTTTATGCATTTCATCAAACAGTTGGAGTGCAAACAATTTAACTATTTTAAAAATGTTAAAAACATCAAGTTATCAATTCCAAATCATCATATACTTCCGATTTCAACTTCAGATGCGACATCCTATCTCTGATCGATTTCTAAATTTGATTTTGATTTCCGAAAATCCGATTGGGAACCTGTGAGTACCGATTCTAAGTCCATCAATGTCGACTCTGATTGCGAGTCCAGAACTCCGATTCCAATTTCATGAACAACGAAGAAATTCCGGTTTAGTTGAAGAAATCTGGATGATTATTGAAGGTTGGAGGAAAAGTTTTGATGATGAACGAACAGTTATTGAATTCTTTATAGTTACGTATTTGAGATTGAAGGTTATTATGATATTTACAAGTTTGCCACCGTATCTTTTATGCTTAGATTAAATGAGTGGCTGAGAATGATTCCCCCATTCTCAACCTTTTTTATTTTCTCAATTGAACCTACCTCTATATATATATATATATATATATATATATATATATATATATATATATATATATATATATATATATAATGATTTTACGATCTAGGTAATTTTCATTCAGAAACCAACAGTCTGAAAATTATAATAAATATTTAAATCTTTTTAATTAAACCATTTGAAACCTTTTTATGATTGTTTATTTGAATTTTTACATGAGAAATTTAGTAAAAAATAATCTTAAAATGATTTTGTGCAATTCATTACTACTAAACACGAGAAAATTGATTCTTTTAGCATTATTCATTTTTAGTTGTAGTATCGAACTAAAAAAGTACCATGTTTTCATAAATGCAAGTCATTGTGTTACAATTATTTCTTTTTAGTTTTGATTGAGTTTTGAAATGTTTATAAAATTTAAAATATTAAGAAAACATTATATAAAATTAGATAAAACACAAGTAGTTCAGTTGCTTTCACAAGATCTTTGGGTGAGTATTTACTATCTTTTAAAGAAAAAGACAAATCATAATTAACTAGATGACTTTATTTCTCAAAGATTATATCCATCTAAAGATGACATCTTCTTATCTAAGGTAAAGAGGAAACAATTCCAATTCGATTATGTTTCGTGATGATAATCCATAAAGCTTAGAGACAAACAATTCCAAATATACGTATTTATCTTCAAAAATCAGGTTTCTTGTATAACCAACTTTATTTAATATTTTCCAAAGGGTTATCACGTACCAATACAAAAATATTGTTGAATAATGATAAAAAAAAATATCAAAGGCATTAAAATCTATACGTCAAATACATGTAGAAAAAAGTGTTGCATGATTAATAATGCACAATTAATCATGTATTCGTATAAATTTGTAAAGAATCCTAACTCTTCATTTTTATTTTACTGAGTTGGTATTTTCTAGCATGAATATTATTGGTAATTATTAATTATTTAGATGTCGTAAACTAATTTTGCAAAAAAACTAATTGTCTCTAGAAACTAATCATAACTCTTATTTGCACTCATCGCTTGGCGTGGTTAAACGGCTAGTGTTTATATATATATATATATATATATATATATATATATATATATATATATATATATATATTCTAATTATTTATATTTGAAAAGTTCACAAGTGAAATTATTCACATTATATATCTGAACTGCAATATAATTCAATTTTCAGGATTCATAATATGAATATGACTTATTATTATTATTGAAACTGTGAATCTAAACTATATATATATATATATATATATATATATATATATATATATATATATATTATTGGTAATTATTAATTATTTAGATGTTGTAAACTATTTTTGCAAAAAAAAAAAAATAATTGTCTCTAGAAACTAATCTTAACTCTTATTTGCACTCATCGTTTGGTGTGGTTAAACTGCTAGTGTTTATATATATATATATATATATATATATATATATATATATATATATATATATATATATATAGACACACATATTCTAATTATTTATATATTAGTTTTGAAAAGTTCACAAGTGAAATTATTCACAATGTATATCTGAACTGCAATATAATTCAGTTTTCAGGATTCATAATATGAATATGATTTATTATTATTGAAACTGTGAATCTACGCTATATATATATATATATATATATATATATATATATATATATATATATATATATATATATATATATATATATATTCACTTGTGAACTTTACAAAACTAATTTATTAATAATTAAAAATATTATAAAATTACAAATTAAACATATTTCGATTAACATATAAATTTTACAATGTTAATTTGTAAATGATCAGTTTATTGAAACATTATGTTAGATTCACAAAAATTAAAAACTAATTACATATAGTTCAAATTACATACCTACCAAAAAACAATGGGATAATTTAATTTTTAGGCATAGTAACATTCGAGAGTTATGACATGAAATGCAAAAAATTTGTGATAGTATTGCAAATATGATATGTGGTGAAAAATATTTGAATCCTCCATGATAAATAAATAACTTTTTTGTCACTTATCAATTTCTTTTGCATTTGGACACATGTAATTTTGTGGTTAAATTTTAAAAATTAATTTCCACTTGTTATTTTGTGGGAATTTTTGATTTTCTTAATTAGCTATCTAATTTTTAGGTTATAGAAAATAATTAATGTTTCATTAATTTGTTTTCTTGTATTTTTAAATTTATTATGTTTCCTTCAATAATATAATTCAAAATTGACATGTTTCTTTTAAAGTTCATTGTCATTTTAAGCAAAATGGTTTATATATAAAAAAAAAAATCAAACCTTTTGTTTTTTTATTGACAAACTATAAAAATATTATATGGTCAAAATATAATTATTTTCTGTAGTTTGTTTTATTAATATAAATTGAATTATTTTTTTATTCATCATTTTGTTTATATATATATATATATATATATATATATATATATATATATATATATATATATATATATATTAAAATTTTATTTTAAAAAATATTTAAAATTTACACTTTGATATTTAATGTTTTCTTTAAAAAAAATATTTAAAGTTTATATCTCCCGATGTACAGTGGCGGAGCCAGGACCAAAGTAAAGGGGTATCCCAATTTAATATTTAGGGTAATCCAATTTTTTTTTCCTGGGGTACTTGGCTTTTCCCGGTTCCGTTTCGGTTTTAAACCCAAACTTTAATCGAATCCTTAGCTAACCTCAAGTATTGTTATATAAACATGAAGTTGAAGTATATTTCGATACTTGAATCGATGTGAGATTCAAAGTAGACATCAAATGAAATATGAGGATAGCATGCTTATATAATAGACAAAAATTGTTGAGTTCACATATGTTTGACGATATGGGATACAATAGCTGGGAAAAATAAAAAATAGACAAAGGATATGTAAGGAGAAAGAATTGAACTTGAGAGATTTACTTCAATAAACCAACATCTTAACCAGTAGTTCGCCTATTTGTTTTGTGTTATAATTGAAGGGATGCGTATATATACATTATATCGAAAAAAATTAAAAGATTCGTAAACAAAAATTACACTAGCGAAATTTTTTTTGAGGGGTATCCCGGGCTACCCCGGGATCCCCTTGGATCCGCCTATGCCGATATAGTTTTTTTAATCAACTCGTGTAGTACACAGGTTTTACACTTAGTTAAATATAAATAGCTGGGAAACTAGTATTTAATATTCATTTTAGTTTAATTTAATATATTATATATTTGTCTTATAATATAGAAACATTTTTTTATATGTCATCTTATATCATTTTAGGTTTTACGCTAACATGTGAGCTACTTTCTATTATAAGTAATTTTTTATTGGTCAACTTTCTATTATAAGTAATTTTTTATTGGTCAACTTTCGGAGTTAGTTTTTCAAAACCAGTTTTAATATCATAAATAACAACACAAGGTTTGGACGAACATCATTTTAAACATGCATGCCCTTGGAACAATTTTTTTTAAGACTTCAAAGAAGATGTGTTCTTTGTTAGACCATACGTTTGCAGGGTCATCAAATTATTATGTAGACGATAAGGTCCCACATTTGTTTTTATTGTTTATGGTATTTTTATGATTCTTAAATCTTGATCAAATTTGGTAAAATATTTGGACTATATATCACATTAAACTTGCACCCAAGAATAGATCATAACCATCGCAATTCATGTACAACTTCTTACCAATAATAAGGTCAACCCAAATTTTGTTTCCTATTCAAATGAAACCTTCTTGGTCTTCATCAACAACTATTCAGGTGGTCAGCATCTCAACTATCATCATCATCATCATCATCTTCATCTTCTTCCGCAAGTATGTTATCAACAAAACTACAAGCAACCAACCAGGATTACCACCTGGGCCAACTCCTTTACCATTCATTGGTTGCATCATTCAAATGCTTCTAAATCGGCCAACTTTCCGATGGATTCACAAACTCATGGACCAGTTTAATACCCCAATACTTTGCATCAAGCTAGGACCATCGACCCATGTCATTGCAGTCTCCAGTCCAAACCTAGCATGCGAGTTCCTACGAAAGCAAGATGTAGTATTTTCTTCCAGGCCTGAAACGTTATCCACTTATCTGGTAAGTGATGGGTATAAAGCAACTATTCTTTCCCCTAATGGGAATCAATGGAAGAAAATGAGAACAATCATGATCCATGATGTACTCGCCCCACCAATGCACAAATGGCTCCAACCTACACGAGACGATGAAGCCAATCACTTGCTTAGCTACATTTACAATCAAATAGAAAAAAAGGATACCCTAACTGAAGGTGGATTAGTAAATATTCGAAACACGAGCCAACATTATTTCGGAAATTTGATAAGGATGATGATTTTTGGGACAAGATTCTTTGGGGCTGGAATGGAAGATGGGGGCCCAGGTGAAGAAGAAACTGAACATGTCGCGTCTGTTTTCATTATCCTCAAGTATCTTTATGCATTTTCCATCAGTGACTTCTTCCCGTGGTTGAGAGGTAAGACTGATTTTGAGGGCCATCAAAAGATTATCGAAACGGCCATTCAAAGAGTTCGTAAGTACCAAGATCCGTTGATTGATGAACGAATTCAAATGTGGAAAGATGGAGTGCGAAAGGTAAAAAAGGATGTGCTTGATGTCCTTATCAACCATGAAAGCCCTAAGCTTACACATCAAGAGATCAAGGCCCAGATTTTAGTAAGACTCACATGCAACTCTTAGTGACTTTCATAAAAATTTGTTTCCAAAAACATATACCAAATGTTGGAGAAGTTAATCTCTTCATATATATGAGTGGTTCTTAAATTTAATTTACTTTGTCGGATTGTTAACTTTTGGTGTTTTCTTGGTGGCTTGTTTAATTTTAGGAATTAATGCTAGCTGCGATTGATAATTCCTCCAATGCAATAGAATGGACGATGGCAGAGATGATCAACAACCCTACTATCCTAAAACGAGCCGTTGCGGAGCTGGACGAAGAAGTGGGTGACAACCGTGTGGTAGAAGAGGGAGACCTTCCTCAACTTAATTACATTAAATCATGCATCAAGGAGGCCTTCAGGCTGCATCCTTTCGCACCTTTCAACATTCCCCATGTTTCGATGAGGAATACCACAGTTGCTGGTTACTTCATACCCAAGGGTAGCCACGTCTTGCTTAGTCGTCCTGGGCTGGGAAGAAATCCAAATGCATGGACAAATCCAATGCGGTTTGACCCAGATCGACATGTTGATGCAGATGGAAAGCAAGTGGTTCTTTCAGATAATGACCTGAGAATGCTTTCGTTTAGCACTGGGAGACGAGGATGTCCGGGAGTGGCGTTGGGTTCAACAATAACTACAATGATGTTGGCTAGAATGGTTCAAGGGTTCAGCTGGGAGGTGCCACAAAATGAGTCGGGTGTTGATCTTGTTGAAAATCATGACGACCTTGTCTTGGCTAAGCCGCTTGTTCTCATCGCGAAACCACGGTTACCTCACCATCTCTACCCAAAAAGCTGAACACAATATATATTGTTTTTGGGAATATATTTGTGTATATAGATACACGTCAATTGGTAAACATGCATGATCACCGTTTGCATCGTTGAAGAAATGATTGCTTATGGTGATCAACACTACAAAACGTTGAGAAGTTCAGTAATTATTTATTGTTCACTACTTCAATATTTTATGTTTATTATTTTTATTTAGGACATATTTATCATTGTAAACGGCAAGTTGTACTTGTTTTTTAAGTAAAAAGGTTAAATGAAACATAAATAAACAAAAAGTTTTGTTTAAAAAAAATGTAAACGTCATGTTAGTTGGACTTATTTTATTGAATAAAAAGAGTTTGCATTTTATCAAAAACTTTTATTTAGAACTTATTTATCATTATAAACGTCATGTTTGACTTGTTTTCTAAATCAAAAAGTTAAATAAAACATAAATACATTAAAAGTTTAGGTTTTAAAATAATTCTAAACGTCATGTTCGACTTATTTTATCAATTAATAGTAGTTTACATTTTAATCATATTTTTATAGTTGTTGTCTTTATATACGACTTACTTATCTTTGTAAACGTCATGTTAGACTTGTTTTTTAATTCAATAAAGCTAAATCAAACATAAATAAAATATAAGTCCAGGTTTAAAATAAATAACTAGTCAATATAAATAAAATATAAAAATATTAATTTAAAAGACAATTGATTTAGGGCTTTTTGATAGTTGTTGATCAGATAAGATCTAACCAAGTCAGAGTTTAATTGGGTCGGAAGCTTGATTGCATCTATTTGCATCTGTCTAAAACTATATGATTTATTATGCATTTGATTGTACTGAAAGCTATTTAGTTTTCTTTTGTTTTGTGATAAATAAAATATATCAATCTGAGCAAAAAAAAAACATCAACTCTCTTATATCGAACAAATAACGTAAATTTATAGAGAATTAAAAAAAAGTTATCAACTATCTCACAAACTTATTTAAAATACAATATTGTATAAGAATAAATAAAAGGAGAATGATATAATAAACAAATCAAAGATCTTCCATCTTATCATATGTTCCTGATTAAAATGGCTTCCATCTTCACTTTACTGTAACGTTCCATTTTCACAACAAAATATTTTCGTTTTAATAAAGTAAAACTTCCCAATTATAAATCCATTAATAAGAAAACCATTTATTTCAAAAGACATTTATTGAAAATCAGAGTAATATAATAAACATGAAATCCTTTATACTATTGATGAGTGTTTACAGTCTCGTCTTCGCATTCCAACAATCATTGATAAAACCTAAAAAACGTAAACAATTGGGTAAGCACATAGTTTAGGGAGTTACCCTAAAATACTACATACGATAAACATACAAGCATGTATAACGGCCCACAATCACCGTATTGGAATGCCCAAGCTCAATCAGTCCTCGGACTGGGAGGTCAACATGCAACGGGTCGAATCAGCCATCAGGCTGGAATACGCAGGGTTTGTTGGCTACGACTTACAACCAACCGACATCGGATATCTTAGCCTACAACATAATGCAGGACCGCCTCAACCGACTACCATCATACGTCGACATATAAACAATCAATGATCAAGTAGGCACATAATACAGGTAACATTAATCATACAACTTACTACCGCCTACTAGTGTTCTCACAGCACATAGTCTCGCTATCAGCTAACCTCCATGAAATGTGTAACCCTAAGTAACCAGTTGTGAGATAGCCACCCGAACAGATGATCTTACTCTAGAGCCACAACCAAACAAGGAACATGCAAGAAAGCCTAGATCAAGAGTTCTTATGTTATCCTAGATGACTACATACAGCCCCTAGGACACTCCACTATATGATAACCATTATACCACTACTACAACATCCTATCATATAGGGATATATACATAGGTCTAACAGATAACTATAACACAACATCCTATATACCAAGATACAGATCGAGCAGATCCATACAACATAGCAACATCGTATATAACAGGATACATATCTAACATATCACTACAGTATAGTAACATACTAGATACCAACAATCCAAGCAATACATAACTATATATACTTATAGGTGAGATACACACCCGGACAGATGATCCGACTCTACAGCCACAACCAGGCATGAAAGCCTAGACCAAGAGTCCTCAGTCTATCCTACATGAATATATGGAGTCCTTATGGAATCCCTCAAATAAAACATAACCAAACTAGTGGATCGACATTGGTGGCTTCGACCCACGGGTACATTGAGGCAAAACTCACCTTAATCAAAGAACCTTGAAACACTGTGAAATTCTCGCGAATCCGCTAATCATCATAACTAGGTAAAACCTTAATCAATAGTCCAAAATGCTCAAGTTTGACCCAAAGTCAAACTTCGTCAAAAAATGAACGACCAACAAAAGTAAAAGTCAAAGGTTGTTGAGTATGCACAGTGTACATGGCTTGTTCTCACTCCCCTATTAAGCACTTTATCCATTACGCTCTTTTTTCCAAAGCGTAGATCTAGACTCAGAACATCAAAATCATAAAGTTTCCACCTTTATGACTTTCCATGGCTAGACAGGGTCCAAGAGTTAAAACCCTAAATTATTAATCCGTTTAGACATCATAACTCTTGCATGCAAGGGATAGAAGATCACATTTTTATGGTTCCTAACAGCTCCATAATTGATAAAGTTTCCAACTTTATCTATTAAGATGGTCGAAACAACCAAGATCTAGTATTTAAGTCTCAAAGGGACCAAAAGTGCATCTCACTCAACTTAATCCATTAAGTCCAAGTCTCCAACCTTCATATCTGAATCAATATGATGTTTAGATGGATAAGGTTTCCAACTTTATCTATAACAAGGTCACAAACTTTCAAGATCTAAATTGTATGCCCTAAAGCGACCAAAAGCTTATAACACCCATAACTAGCTAGATCTAATAAATGCATCATCAAGATTCAAGATTTTTACCTCTAAAAGAACGATCAATGTGAAAAGGTCTGGATCTACATGCTTTAATGCAACCAACACTTCACCAATGACCTCCTTCTTTTCCAAGATGCGCCAAGAACTCTCCAAAGCACTTAAAGACACCTTCCTTTGCTTATAAGGCTCAAACTAGGGTTAGGGTTTCAAGGGAGGACATTGGGGAGGTCGAGGCTGAGAATGGAAAGGGTTTGTGGAAGTTAAGGAGCTTAAATAGCGCTCAAAACCCCAAAATTTGGGTTTGGGTTCTGATCACGTACACCCAGCGTACTCCTGCTAATGCCTAGAGTACGAGGTTAAATCTTTGCGATCATCCTTTCCTACTATGCCCAGCATACTAGGTTAAACCCAAAGCCTCCTAACTTCTAATAGTTATAACTTCTTCATTCAAACTCCGTTTTCGAAGATCTTTATATCCATAGAAAGGTATTGAAGAGCACTACAATATTATCTAAATATCTTGGACTAAAAAACTTCTCGAAAAAAAATCCGTATTTCAGGCAAGAACCCAGCGTATGGTGTTTCCCTTTTTAGCCTTTAGCCCAAAATACGAATCAAGGATTAAATCTCTTAACCATCATTAGCCCCTTCCACAAGGAATAAAATTTGCCTCTTTAAGATTGAAATCCTTTAAACAATCGAATTCCGGACCATGACCTCGAAATAAGAAATGAAAAGAAACATGTTGTTACAATTCTTCCCCACATAAATTAGATTTAATCCTCGAAATCAGCACTCGCTACCACTTCATGATGAAACCCATCAAATCAACAAAACTATAAGAAAATCCATAGATTTTATTGGCTCAAGACCATCTCAGTCAAATATCGTCATGCTAATCTTGTATATAAGAGCACAACTGTAACTAAAACCGAATGGTCACATATGAAACTGGGCCACGCTCCTACTCGGATCCGATAACTCTACTTAGCGATCTACTATCAACAATCGGGCTCACCCTAGTTGTGTAACCGACAACAGTACTCAGGCTAACTGTCACAGCTAGCATTTTTGGCTTGGAAATTATGTCCTCATGAAAGCAATAACAATTGTGAGACTTGTGCTATCACACCTAAGTGTACAAAATGAGTTCCTAATGAACCATGTAGTGTTAGAATGCAAATCTCTCCAAGTATGTGAAATCTCTCCCAAAGCTCTCCAAGTATATCAAATCTCTCCAAGTATATCGAATCTCTCCCAAATCTCTCCAAGTATGTGAAATCTCTCCCAAATCTCTCCAAGTATATGAAATATCTTTCAAATCTCTCCAAGTATCTCAAATCTCTCCCAATCCTCTCCATGTGTCCCTAATCTCTCTCAAATCTCCCTATGAAGTTCATTAGCTATCTACTATCAACAATCGGGCTCACCCTAGTTGTGTAACCGACAACAGTACTCAGGCTAACTGTCACAACTAGCATTTTTGGCTTGGAAATTATGTCCTCATGAAAGCAATAACAATTGTGAGACTTGTGCTATCACACCTAAGTGTACAAAATGAGTTCCTAATGAACCATGTAGTGTTAGAATGCAAATCCCTCCATGTATGTGAAATCTCTCCAAGTATATCAAATCTCTCCCAAATCTCTCCAAGTATGTGAAATCTTTCCCAAATCTCTCCAAGTAGATGAAATCTCTTCCAAATCTCTCCAAATATCTCAAATCTCTCCCAATCCTCTCCATGTATCCCTAATCTCTCTCAAATCTCCCTATGAAGTTCATTAGTCGAAGCCGATCCAAAACAAAACAAAGGATACTTGAAGACAAAGGATACTTGAAGAAACAAGCATTATTTCGGAACTCCTTCCTTGAGGGCTTCGGACCCTCCAACTTTGCTTCGAAATCACATTAGTCCGGATTTCCATCTTGCCTCAGAACCTCCTAATGACTTCGGAAGGTGTAGGGCGACTTCGAACTTCCTATGTGACCCGGACAACTTCGCACTTAGGACCGGAAGCCTTGGTGCCTTGGAAACCCTCGTCCTTTGGAACTAATCGCATCGAATTAGTGCCGACTTCGGAACTAGGGTTCGACTCCGGAAGGTAAGCTTTGCTCCGGAATCTCTTGAAAACACTCTGGAACTTGTGACTTACCTTTGGAACTCGCCTAGTACCTCTAGAACTCCCGTATAACCCACTCCGGACCCTTGCAAACCTAACCCTCCACTGCGGATTTGGGCGATGATTTTGAAATTCATGTTGTGGCTCCGAAATTTGCTATTTTACTCCGGAATTCACCTTCTTGCTCCAGATTTTGGGCTATTTCGGACCACTT